GTCAGATAATTCTGCTGCTCTAGCGCTAGGATATTGTCTTTTTGGCAAAATTCCAATTCCAATCAAACAGTTATCGATGCAAGCTAAATAGCTAATTTTTTGGGCTTTACTTATATACAGCGTATCCCATCCTCCCCTCCTCCCCTCCTCCCTCATTTGAAAAAAATCAGTGCATGCCCCCATAACCGCACTTGTGATCCGTAACCTAATTTCAGCCTATGAAATTCTTAGATTACGAGCCTAGAAACAAGTTATTCCCCCCCCCCCCCTCTTCTCCCCTTTCTGACCAGCTCATAACTATAATATCACCAAATTAGATGTAGAAGACCCCCTTTAAAAATATTACATTATTTGGTATTGTACCATAACGAAAAATTGAGCCTCGTTTTTACTAACACTTTTGAAAGTCTCTAATCCATTTTATTTGCTTGCATCATTTTTTAGCGAAACAGTTTATGCTCATTTTAAGGTCCAGTATGAAGAAGTTGCTGACTGATGGTCTTCTTCTCAACGATTTTTTATGGGAAAATAATAATAATAAAAAAATAGGGATAGGAACTAAGGGCGCTCGACTTGAGCAAAAGTTTAAATAGTTTTTGTAATTTGAAAACTTCTAAACTCTGCCAGATGTGTTTCCGAATTTCTAACAAGAGCTTTTTTGTCAGCGTCAGACATTGTAAACTTCAAAATTCTGAGGTAATCTCGAACTTTTCATGACTTTAGCGTCCATATATCCTGGAAAAATCGAATTACTGTTTTTACATCCGAATTGCTGGAAAGATCTATTCTTATCAGCATTTAGAGATTTATGAACTTTGAACTTCTGAGATGTTTTTAGAATCTTCGAGAGCTTGCATCCAAATTCTGGAAACCCGAAATTTGAGCTGTTTCTAGAATTTTTGAAGAATTATTTTCTGACTTATGTATTGTCTTTCTGTCCACCTTCACAATGATTTATTATGCAAGACTGCACAATAATCTTCTTTCCATCACCATGCGCTCATATAATTCACATTAATGATTTATTACTACAAAAACCCATAAATCCCTGAAGATTTCCACAGCAGCGGTCTGCAGAGTTTTTTTATTCTTGATTTGCATCTGCTTTCAATAGGCTAGACAATCAGCAGCTGAAAAGCTGCAGATGTTTGAAAAATCTACTGTAATCTTATATCCTTAATTGGTCCCATGATAAGGAACATATGTATATAAACAATATATGTCATATGGGGGGGTTAGTTATTTCGAAATTTATGTAACTGCAAAATCACCATAATTTTTCCAATCGACCTGTTATTGCGAGAAACTTGATTTTGAATAACACGAGAAAAAATTCCATGACTTTGACATGGTGACCTTAGAAAAACGAAAACCTTTGTACTAGTAAATTTTTCAGCCCCAAAAGATTTTTTTCAAACTGATGCCTGACTTTAGATACGTGATTTTTTTTGAAATTTTCTGTGCCGGGGATTTTTAATTGAGAAATATTTTCAAAACAATTGCTTGCATTGATCAAATCTGCGTTAGAAAAAATTCCTTCAAAAAAATTCCTTAAAATTAATCCTACTATGTTGTTACCCATTTTTACACCGTAGCACTACACTCTCTTGAAGATATGTGATTGAAATATGCTTACGATACATTCAAAATATTTTATTCAAACTTCATATGGGGGGGGGCATTTATTCTTATAAGAATATGCAGCATTTTTTACTAACTTTGCAAATTTCCATGATTATTATCATCTTATATATAAAGCTGAATGTCTGTTTGTATGTCTGTATGTCTGTCTGTCTGTATGTCTGTATGTACGTATGTTCCGAATAGAAAATTCCATTTCTGAACCGATCGGGACCAAACTTGGCACACATACACTTTGGGCCCCGGCGAGTGTCATAGGCTACTTTTCGTCATCGATCGATATCGATTTTATCGATTTTTATCGATTTTTTTGCTGAGTTCACCTACGGGGCTGGGAGTTGGCACAGGGGGGTAATCGAGCATGGGGATTCCGAATACAATATTGGTTTTCAGGATTATCGATTACTTTTATCGATTTTATCGATTTTTTTGCAAAGTTTGAGCTACGGGGGTGGGAGTTGGCACAGGGGGGTAATCGAGCATGGGGATTCCGAATACAATATTGGTTTTCAGGATTATCGATTACTTTTATCGATTTTATCGATTTTTTTGCAAAGTTTGAGCTACGGGGCTGAGAGTTCGCACAGGGGGGTAGTCGAGCATGGGGATTCCGAATACAATATTGGTTTTCGGGATTATCGGTTACTTTTATCGATTTTATCGATTTTTTTGCAAAGTTTGAGCTAGGGGGCTGGGAGTTGGCGCAGGGGGGTAATCGAGCATGCTGATCATCCCCAAGGGGGGTGATCAGCATGCTCGATTACACCCCTGTGCCAAATTCCAGCCCCCTAGCTCAAATTTTCAAAAAATCGATAAAATCGATAAAAGTAATGGACGATCTTGAAAACTAATATTGTATTCGTAATCTGCATGCTCGATTACTCCCCTGTGCAAACTCCCAGCCCCGCAGGTCAAACTTTACAAAAAAAATCGATAAAATCGATAAAAGTAATGGACGATCCTGAAAACTAATATTGTGTTCGTAATCAGCATGCTCGATTACCCCCCTGTGCAAACTCCCAGCCCCGCAGGTCAAAATTTACAAAAAAATCGATAAAATCAATAAAAGTAATCGATAATTCTGAAAACTAATATTGTGTTCGGAATCCCCATGCTCACTTCCCCCCTGTGCCAACTCCTAGCCCTGTAGGTGAACTCTGCAAAAAAGATCGATAAAAATCGGTATAATCGACATCGATCGATAACGAAAAGTGGACTGTGACACCCGCCGGGGCCCGAAGTGTATGTGTGCAAAGTTTGGTCCGGATCGGTTCAGAAATGGAATTTTCTATTTGGAACATACGTACACGGGTCTAGCTGGCAGGCCCGGCGGAGCCGGGCAAGCCAGCTAGTATTATAGTATAGCACTTATTTGTATCAAATAATTCCCTAAAAATCTTCAAAATATTGGTTTCCAAAGTGTGGCCCTTGAAAGAAGGTGAGAATCCATCCATTTCGAAACTTTGAATCGTCATTGTCAATTCAGACAGATATTTGTGTAATTGCAGAATTTGAATCGTACTGATGTAGAGAGTCCAGTCATTGTAGATCTTCCTAAACATCGTGTGGCAAAGTTTCTGGGATTTACTTTCCCACTTTTTTATCCTTTGATTTTTGCCCCATCGACTAAGGATTAGCAAGCCCCAGGTGGATTACAGCAGTGCAAGCATCTACTCTTTTGTGTGAAAAACAAGGAACGCTAAGGAGGTTGGGGAGGGGGGGGGGGGGTTCTTTGCTCTCATGCACTTATGACTCACCTTAGAAACAAAAGGCAATCTCTTAATTGCGTTGGTGGGGTTCAAGCTCTATGGAGACTGTTTCAACACTATTCACTATATAAGCGATCGAGAACTCTTCACGTCTCATATATTTAGCTTCTCCCCCCTTCCCCCCCCCCCCTGTGCTTTTCATGTTTTTGCTAGAAATTCGTTCTCTTTCTAGAAGAACATCAAGCTGAATTCATAGAATAGCTTCAAGAGGGTACCTTATGTCCTATAATTTCTAGAACATTCTTTACCGTACTCTACCAATCCCACGGAGCTAACTGAGTATGTGTGAATCAGACAAAAAAAGCATACGAATGTACATACATTCACTAGAAAGAAAGCTAGCCCATTGTAATCAGCGTGCGATTTTCTCAGAGCAATGGTTTTTTAGAACTTATACTTCGAGGTCTATTTGTTTTTGTTACAACCGCGAAAAAATCTCCAAAATGCAATTTAATGTATTTACTTAGCCATTCGTATGTGCAATGAGCATGCTGTATCCCTTCGTGCAATTTTCTAAAACAGACTCTAAGTATATGATAGAGGTACTGTAGCATTACTATGTAGTGCAGCAACTTTGATGTGTTTATTTAATGAAAAAATCACAAAATTTGAGCAATCTCAAACATTTTCTCACGTATGTAAAACATTTATAAACTGAAATTGTTTTAAAAATGGTAAAGGATAGAAAAAACTGGCTCTAAATGGTGTTTTAGCCAGAGACCTTTTTGGGTTGAGCTCAATAGGGATCCTCCATTTGAGAAATCGTTTCAAGGTGATTTCACTGCAAAATACAGTAATGCTACAGTATATCTACCGTGCGATTCTGACTGTTCGTCCTTTGTGACAAAATGCAAGTTTCAACCCAAATGCAAAACTTATTAATGCTACAGTAAGTCTACCAATCACCGGTTGTGTTTCATTTAATACAATACGTACAGTAATGCTACAGTATATCTACAGTTTAGCTTCATCCAGAGGACACGGTGATCGAGTATCTTTGGCCCACATACAAATGCTTTTTGAGTCATATGCACCTATTCTGGCTTCATGCCAATTTTCATCTAATCAAAAGAGCAGATGCAATTATTTTTAATGCTATCGGATAAACAGGAAGTAAAATTCCAATTCTACCATCCAACTTTTAGTCATTCTGACTAGCAATTTTTTGCCGTACGGTAGGTATACTGTATGGGTACCGTAATCCATATTTATCTCGTAATTTGATATTATTCACGCAAGTAAAAGGTAACTTACGATATTAAGCTCTCTCTAGAAGAAAATCATGGAGCAGAAGCATGATCGTCCTTCCTTTACCTTCTCCTTTTTCTCTTCCTCCCCCCCCCCCCCCTCCCCTGCCCTCGCTTCACATCTCACGCTTAACACAGACAATTTACGTTATCCATCCAACCTTACATGTTTATCCAGCCGACTGAAATATAATCCTTCCTAGACCTCCTATTCTGAGCGTAATATATACGAGATAACGATACCCACTAACTCATTTAGCTTGTGACAAACTCGCGGACAACTCGTCCTTTTTTTGGCAGATTTTTATGCTACTGAGCAGTTCTTTATTGTGGTTATTTTCAGCATGTTTTCCGGACGAAAAGTGAAGTGGAATCATTTTGGAAAGAAGTACTCGCTACGTCTTAGCGATTACGAACTCGAATATGCGGATCTTTATGATGTGAGTCCACATTTCCTCCTACGTAAACCAATTAACTACCGATTCGGAACTCCATTCATGGAATTTTTGGCCGTATAATTCATTCAAATGCGAGCGTATCAATCGTAAACGTGCTCTAGTCTAAGTGCATAACATCATTCTTGACCGAATAGGATAATTTTATGGAATATAAATTGCCTATTTATGTTTGATATTGGATGCATAAATTTTGTTTCAGAAGAAAAATTGCACTCATTACAATAAATATGAGAATACATGGAAATGAGAGGGAGAGATTTTTGGTGTAATTACAGACAAGCTACAATGTTTGAAATTACTCAGGACTGGCTTCTGATCGTATTTTGCGAAGAGCTCACCCAGTTTAAATAACATTTTTTTTTGCTTGTATTTCAAATGCGCTAACCAAGGTATTCTCTAGTTTGTGGATTTTTGAATAGTGCATTTGCACACAAGCAGTCGATTTTTTGAAAATGAGAAGTAGGAGGCTTTCGAACTGTATAAGTTCGAAAGCTCAGTAACAAATTTTTTTAGCATTGAGGATGAAATCAAACAAAAATTATTGAATTTTTTGGCTCCTGTACTTGGCGGGTTGCCAAAGATTCTTCGTATTATAAAATCTGGCCTTTTTGCTATAAGATCATTTTTTTGCAATTTATTGGTGTTTAAGCTTAATTATTTTCACTTTGTATTGTTTTTTTTCATATAGAATCTTCCAATTTTTAAAAGTTTAATTTCATAATTTTTCAGGCATTCATGAAGAAAGTGCACGAAATAAGACCCGACTTTGAAGGTGCCATCGCTTATATCGACCAGTATGGCAGACAGGTAGGACTACATATTTACAGCCCACTTGTTTACCTATCTAAAAAATCTTACGGTAAACAAAACACAATGCAAGTGACAGCTTTGAATTATTTGTATCTACACTAATGAGAATGAGATGACAAAAGAGCTACAGTAAGATTGCCAAGAGTAGCTACGCTTGAGTTATGGGATAAAGTAGTTGAAACATTTGACTAAGCGCATTCTGCGATTGATACGGTAACACTACCGTATTACTACAGTAATCGAATCAAGGTATCATATCCAAAACACCTTTAAAGCTTCAGATGCTTTTTTGCTTCAGATGACGTTTCTAATTTCAGAACTGAAAATGATAGAGATTGAAAACTTTTATTGAGAAAACCAAATGCTTTCATTTTCGTATTCCAGGTAATTGTCAACAATGACAAGGATTTACGTGAAGCACTCAGTCAGTCCAAAGGAAAACTCAAATTGCATACAACGTTGGCCGATGGCCAAATAATGTCGGCAGTACAAGTCGCCGGTCGACAAACGCGATCACACAGTGTGCCACCGCCAATGGTAAGATTACAGTAACATCACCGTAATCAACTTTTTCCTTGAGGAGCTAGTTCCGTATAAATTTTCCATAACATGTCCTTTTTCCTGTCCTTGTCCTTTTTGTCATTTATACTTTTTCGGATAAATTTGAAAGCCTTTCAACATAAGAAATAAAGGGATACATAATAACACAAAAAAGTCACCATAACATTTTCGTTCCAGGACCGAGGCTACCACTCCTACCCGCCAAACTCTCGTTCACCATCATCAATGGATTCAGCGCCACCAACCTACCGTAACCGAACAGCATCACCGCCACCGGCTCCTTTGACAACTTACAAGAAACCACCATTAAGCCCTGGAACCTATAATGAAATTCCGGTAAATTTGTACAGGTTTGGGGTTAACTCGTCCGAAATCTGTCTCGGATGTGGGTGGGGTTTTATCCTCAAAATCGGTAGTTTTGGGCTCTTCGGCTTGGGATTTGGTAAAGTATACGCAAATTATGTCATTTTTTCACGGAAGAAAGTGGGCGGAGAGGGAGCCAAAGAAACCTACTGTAGAAAAGAATTTTTCCAGATGAAACCCCCTGGTTATGGATACAGCTACTCAACCTATGCGCCATACTACTCACAAAATCTTCTTTATGGTATGCCACCACATAGCGGAATGCTTTTAAGGTAGGCTTGTCCTTCAAAAAATCTCGAAAGAATTTTTCAAAAATTTTCATCCTCAAAAAATTTAGATTCCTTGCCAGTCCATTTCCATTCGGCTATCACAAAAGCTTTGTTGGACCAAATAAATATCATCATTTTGGTGGTCCATGGGGTGGCTACAGATACTACTCTCCAGGATGGGGACCAGTCTGGTGAAAAATATTTCACTCCCCCTCCCCTTTCCTCTGCTTTCGATGCACTTATGTTTTTCCCTCGCAAATACTGATGAAGTTTTCTGAACTGGTCAAGTCATATGGTGTCTTCTAAGTTAACAACCCGAAGTGATCAAAAAAGCAATCAGCATGTATATGGTAGGCATACTGTAGCATTACGGTAGGAGGTCCTGATCTGATGCGCTCTTATACTCTTCAGCATTGTGCGTAAGCAAATACTTTGATGTTCTTCACTTTGACTATTTTATGCTCTAGATTATATCCTCTTTTTTCTTGTATTGTTAATTCATGTGATGATATTTGATGTTATGTAAATAAATTTTTGTAAAATCTACTTGTTTTGTTATTCACTGCAAAAATCTGCAAAAATCTGCTTTTCAGCAGCAAAATCTCTGGGGATCCGTCAGATCATAGTATGGTGAATGTCATTTCGTAGCAACTGTCATACTCTTATGGCGTTCGTCTCTAGAACATGCTGCGCACTTGATTTGTGACAGATGTCATATTCTTATGATTTGTGGAAATGTTCGAGGAGCTTGGAAGAAGTTTGAGTACTATGAGGCCTTCGAAAGGTTTCTTAAGCGGTCGAAATTGTGGATACCAAAGAAAAGCGTAGAGCATTTCGTAAAAATAAAACATATGATATATTCAGACTGTTCAATCACGATTAGCAGTGGTACTGAAGAGATTAAAATTCCATTTGAGACATTCGAAACTTATGTTGATTTCGTTGTGAATTTTGGTTTTATTGTATCTAAATATTTTCATTTTTGGCAAGCAAATTAAGTTTCATTAGCATTTCGTTTTGAATTTTCAAATAATTACTCAAATGTATTGAAATCGAAGGCTTAGGTTATTTGACTGCGCCCTTCTTTTCAAACATTGTTGCTCTTTTGATTTGAACAAGTAAATGAAGAAATAATTCTTCAAATATGTAGGAAATCAAGTAGCACCGGTTTTTGTCTTATTTGCCTTTGGGTAGCTGAATCTTCCTGTCCGAAACTTCCTGCGCTCTTAAACATCTCAGATTTGTACTGCTTGATTTCTTGTAGATTACGGCAGAAATCTACAGAGTTTTTTTTGAATTTTTTATTGAGTTAAAACTTCATACATCTTTTCTGAATAAGCTAGACACAGCGATAACAACAGCAGATGTTTTCAGAGATTGTTTACAGAACAGAATGAAGAAATATGTCATGATTTTACAGCTTTAATTAGCTCTCATGACACCTACATAAGAACACATGAGCATAAACATCTCAGTGGGAGTGAAAATGGAAAGAAGTATTAAGTGGAATGGAAATTTGCCACAAAAACGGTGCTCATATGATAAGTGATGTTCAGAACGAAGCTACTTAAAGAAACATGAACATCAAAAATTATAGAGGATTTTAAACCCATATAATTAGAAAAAGAATGATTTTAGCCTGTACTTTCAAAATTTAAAAAAATCGTCAGATTTTTTTATTCCCTCTGGACCAACAATATGGAAGAGCTTTTCTCTTTTTCACCCCTTCCTTTCTGTCCAACATCCTGCTTAATTCTTCGTCACTAGGGTGAGAAGAGAATTTTTGTCCTCTGCTTTCTGGAAAGATATTTTTTTTTGAAACTGTTGAAGGTATAGCGTTCTTAATGTGAAATAAATTGAGTAGTTCAATTCCTACGAATTGTGAGAACGTTCTCTGCGTTCTTTATCATCTCATATGCAAATGTGAGATCCAAAATAGAATGTGAATGTCTAAATTCTTAGGAGAAAGCTCAATCAGAATAAGCAATTTGCGCTCATAGCGCACGTTTTCTACCCTTGAGGCAATGGGTGCATACTAAACGTTACGTAAAGTTTGGTACCGTAATGCTACAGTATGTCACACTGAAAGAGTGCTTCCCTTCATCATTAACAGCAAGAAAGACATCCATAATTATTTCTGCTGAACGGTGTGGTTTACTTGAAGACTTGAAAGAAAAATTTTGATTTACAAACGTCACTTTATCCTGAGACCTGTTGAAATGTTCGTAAGCGAAGAAGATTTGTACATTATGCAGGTTTTGCTAGATTTCAGATAGGTTTGGGAGTGCTAGCAACAGAAGTTATCAAGAAAGTATATTTAAATAATTTAGAAGGCTTTAAAAACAAATGAAGACGCTACATACGTCATACCTAAACATACGCTGAGAGAGAATATCAAAAAAAATTATGCTTTGCAGTTTCCAATAGGTGCAGAAAAAAGGTGGTAAGTAATCCAAGCTTGCGAAATGCAAATGTTATAGTGAACAGCCAATTGAGAACGGCCATTTTGCACTACAATACCTAACAACTCCGCTGTATTGCTCGTGCATGCGGTCCTCTATGGAAGTGTCCCGGCAGCATTGCAGGTGTGCAATCACAACTTTATTTACCTCGCGTGTAAGATTCTCTCTTTCTTGTATGAGTTTGATTATAATTATTAGGTCGTTCCGAAAGTAATGTCGCTTTTTTCAAATGAACGCCACATTTCGTGGAACCAAGATTTTCAAGAGCTTTTGGGATCAGTCGATGCAGAATTTTGTCCTCTTTCTAATGGTTGTAATCTCATGCATAACACTCAATGAGCTCTCAAAAAATTACTAAAACCTGCGACTTATGCTTTTTGTCATGGTCAAGTTCGGCTATTTTTCTATATTTTTTTACTGATTCCCCGAAGATGTACAAGTAGCAGATAATTAGAGCAAACCCTGTAGGACACAAAACGAATTTTTTCTTTTCCTTAGTTTGCTTCTTGGAGTTTGTAGAACCAATTTTTCAGTGCTATCAAATTCCATATTTGGTCAACTCAGACCTCACAGAACAACAACCGGCAAGCAACTCGGGTGTCGTTAGACGCAGCTTTTTCTCCTCTTTCTACCAATTTTTTTTTCCGATTCACCAAGTTTTCCGGGATGAAATCATCATAATTCAGGTTTTCCAGGCTGTACCCAAAATTTCCGAAAGTTGCTAATCTGAAGCGGTAAATGCTCATATGCTTTGTAAAATTAGCGTTTAACCATAATCCACCTTTGTAAGTCTCAGAATCCGAAAGTTTATTGGTGTTTGATGCATATGTGTTTGAGACAAGCCTGCAAAAATTCGGTGACTTCATTGAAAAATCTCTACAAAAATTATGACGAGATACGGAGAGCAGAAAAAAATAGCACCGTTTCCTATAGGGTTTGCTCTATCCATCCATTACTTGGACTCCTTCCGGGAGTTATTACAAAAAATTAGAAAAATTGTGAAACTTGACTTTCCCAAAAAGCACGGGTTGGAGATTTTAGTAATTTTTCAAAAGCTCATCGAGTATTCTGCGGTGGAATTATAGCCATTGGAAAGAGGATGAAATGCTGCATCGAATGCTACCAAGATCTCCTAGAAACCTTGCTTCCACGAAATGTAGCGTTCAATTGAAAAAAGCGACATTACTTTCGGAACACCTAATATAATTACTAGTGAACCAGTACTCTAAAAATGCTAGATTTGGGATCGTTCGCTTCGGGACCCGTCGCGGTTTCCCGCTATTTGATGTTTTTTTGAATTGGCGCTACGATTCTTTATATATTAGATTCATAAAATACGAAAGAATATAACCATATCTCTTGACTTCTAGCCATTTATTCTGACTTGCAGAACAGTAAATCTCAGAGTTTGATGTTCTAGGCCGCGTCCAAAATTGTACGTGTCAGCGCTGTGTTAGCGTCGTGCCAGCGTCGTGCTAGCATCGTGCAGAACTTCGGTATTAGAACGACACGCACGGCGCTGACACGGTACCGCACACACACACCCACTCTGGTCACTGCTCAAAAGGAATGTCACTAAGGCAGGTGCTATACTCCTCAAGGAGTATAGCATAGCGAGGCGATCGCCAGTCGCCAATACTGGCGACTGTTTCTTCTATGCGTATCGATCGCTAACAAGTTATCACACGTCCAATCGATACACATTTAATGTGTAGTCGCCAACACTGGCGACTGGCGATCGCCAATATCGGCGACAAAAATCGCCGGTTTTACACGTATTTGACGCATATCGATCGTCGCCGTGCTATACTCCTCGAGGAGTATAGCGCCTGCCTAACACAAACCCTTCAAATTAAAATATCACTCTTTCACTATTCTCTTCACGTTTGCACGGTGATGACAATACCTAATCGTAAAACTTGATATATGGTGCAATTCAGGGTCTTAACCATTATTCAGAGGTCCACACATTTTTCTATTCATCAAGCTAGGTCATGCATCACCGTTATTCGTGATCATTCGTAGAAATCAATGGTATATGTGTTTGGGGGTCAACGATCACCAGCAAATGGGAGTTTTCTACTACTACTGACCATCCCCTACTTGGCTTCTAAAATTTTCACTCCTCAGTGAATCAAGAAATTCTTGCATTTCTTCTCAGTACCATCCTTTATCGACTTCTAGAAGTTTCAGTTCTCGATGAAGCAGTAAAGTTTTTGCATAATTCATTTTCTAAGAGACATGAGCGCGCTTTGCGTACGTCTAATTAACAAGTTTAAGAATGCGTTTTAACGCGTTTGGTGAATTAGTTTAATTATTTCGTGGAACAACATGTTAAAACTCGCGCTGTTTAACGAACTTAACATGTTTTTTACACGAATTCCTTGTGGTAATTTAACAAAACGCGTCAAAACGCACTTGAAAACCTGTTGATTAGACTTAGTACGCAAAGCGTGCTCTTGTCTCTTAGTAAGAGAATGAATGATGTTTATTCTACAGTACCATCCACAATTCTATTTCCGATATTCTCATTTCGGTAGAACAACGGAATTTCGAATTTGTTCCCAAGCTACGATTCTTCCTCAAAATCTGGGGTTCTTATTGTCATTCACTGGCTCCTGCTGCTGGCACAAAATATGTCTTGAATTCTCTCAAAAATAATGTTTTTGGTATTTAAAAATTTTAACATAACTTCTTGAAGCATTTTTTCTGTATTACTGC